ACAGCGCTGCATTACTTTTTTTTTTACATTAATCACTGACAATTGCACGGTCATACAACTCTGTACATAAATGAAATGTATGTCCTTTTCCCCCACAAATAGAGCTTTCGTTTGGTGGTATTTGATCACCTCTGTGTTTTTATTTTTTGCACTATAAACAAAAAAAGGCTGACAATGTGAAAGAAAAAAAAAAAAAAAAAAAAAAAAAAAATATATATATATATATATATATATATATATATATATATGACTTTTTGCTATAAAATATATCCAGTAAAAAAATTAAAAAAGTAAAACTTCTTTCATAAATTCAGGTAGGGCGATATGTATATACATATATATATGTGATTTTGCGCATCCATGCTGCCCTGTAGCAGTACTACTGCTATAGGGTGGGGGAAGTGGGGGGAAGTGGTTAAAATTAAAGCCCAATTGAACTTTCTGTTTAAATCAGCCAAAAATATTTCAGGTGCATCAAAACAATAGGTATGCAAAGTCCATTTATTTTATAATCAGCCACAGCTTGAGAGAAGACTGTGTCCAGCCAGCATGCTACAGAGGACTCTTAGGCTGGCCATACATTATACAATTATCTGGAGATTTTTGGTTTAGATTTACCAAAAACCATATAATAGGAGGACAAACCTAAACAACACTTTCAGTTGTATCCAATTAGGCAGGCCCTTGCACTACACAGTTGAAGGTAAATCTAAAGGAAATTGGGCAGAAAATTGGAAGATAATTGTATAATGTATGGCCTGCCTTACTCTCTAAGTATAATCAGTGGGCATTTCCAACTTCTGCAATCAGCATATCTCCCTTATGATTGAGGAGTTCTAGGTCTGACTCAGCAGGGGGCATTTCTGACCTCTGCAGAGAGACCACTGCTTTTATACAGAGAGCAAGGGTGCTTTGTTGCAGCATGCTGGACAGGTTTTTCTGCTCAATCTGTGACTGTTTTCTAAAGAAAAGAACTGTTAGACTTTGCAGAGCTTTTGCTGAATGTATTTATCTGATTTAAAAGTTCAGCTGGCCTTTAAAGACTTTTTTTTTCCTCCATTGTCTTTTTGAATATACTGATCATTTTGTTCTCTATCAGTGTTTAAAAAATAGAATAGACACTTCATCTTCATCACCATCCAACATATATTACCAGGGAGATTGAAATCTCATGTCCTTTAATAACTCTGAAGGCTCCAGATAATGTAATGAAGATAAATCTTTAATCTGGTCATGGCGGAGTGGCTATTAAGAGATTCAAGGTTCTTTAAATTTAATACACTAAAGGAAAAAATGTTGTAAAATCTAATTGCATTAATGAAGAGTGTTTTACATACTTGATTGATTAGGTTAATAGGAAGATGTCCCTTCGAAGAGGATGTGCCATGGTGCCCTAGAGAACTTTGTGGTAAAGACAAAGCTACAGAGATGTAAGCTCTTGACTTTATTATATTGATCCAAGTCTGTTCACTTAAAGTGAAACTCCAACTTTCAGTAAACCTTTCACAAGGGAGGCAAAATCACCAAGACATCACTGGGATTACTTCTACTCTTTAAATTCATTGCTGTCCCTATTGCAATTCTGAGGATTTACCCCCGTTTCTGACCATTTTTTGTGATACGGCGCTGTGTTACTTTAACTGACAATTGCGCAGTCATGCAACGCTGTACATAAATGATATTTATGTCCTTGTTTCCCACAAATTGAGCTTTCTTTTGGTAGTATTTGATCACACGTGCCTTTTTTATTTTTTAAATAAACAAAAAAAGACTGAAAATGTAAAAAAAACCAAAACATTATTTTTGACTTTTTGCCATAAAACATGTCCAGTAAAAAAATTTAAAAAATCAAATTTCATTATAAATTTAAGCCAAAATGTATTCTGCTACATATCTTTGCTAAAAAAAATGCCAATACGTGTAAATTAATTGGTTTATGTGACAGTTATAGCATCTACAAATGGCGGTACATATACTGGAATTAAAAAAAAAAATTTTTTTATACTCTACTAGTAATAGCTGTGATCAGCAACTTATAGCAGGACTGCAGCGGGCATTCTGACACCAGGGGGGGACTGACATCCCAATGACACTAATACAGTGATCAGTGCTAATAAAAAGCACTGACACTGTACTAATGACACTGGGCAGGAAAGGGTTAACATCTGGGGTGATCATAGGGTTAACTGTGTGCTGTTTTACTATGTGTGCTGTGCGTGTTTTTTTAAGGAAACATGCTGCTGTGTATTTCTCTGCTGTGCTGTGCAGAGACATACACAGCAGCATGTGACTGCTGGGAGGAGAGAGACCTGTGTTGCTTACAAACAGGTCTTTCCCCTGTCAGTGATCGCCGAGTGCAGGCGGGAATCTCTGGACCGGACCTGGTGATTGACACCTGAAGCTGCCAATGGCGGCGCAGGTAGGGCGGTGTGCACGCCCTCTACCCAGAAATGCAAAATCACGTATATATACACGATTTTGCACAGCCCTGTAGCAGTACTTCTGCTATATGGTGGTCGGGAAGCGGTTTAACCAGCTTTGGAAAATCAAATGTTGTAAAACCCAGAAACAGGCTACCAGTAAATTGTTAGTTCACCTTTACAAAAACACTGCCTATGCAGATAAAGGGGCATCTGTAGATAAACACAAACTGTGCAGCTTTGACTAAAGTTGAATATTGCCCTTGCTATAGGTGTAGGCCATTTACATATCTCATGAAGCCTGGCCATAAAACTCCCAGGACATTGCTAAGAACGTTGCTAAGAGAGGCCCAGCTATTACTGTTCGCCTTCATCACAGGAATGAGCTCTGAGTCCAGAGCTACTACATCTGGGGAGAGAAACACATCTGAGGTTGGTTGAATCAAGGAAAGAGCTGACTCCTGTGGTAGGGAAGATGAACAAAACAGCAAGGCTTCTCTTAGCAACATCCTGGGAGCTTTCCAGTCAGGCTTCATGAGGTATGTAAATGGCCTACACCAATAGCAAGGGCATTATTCAATTTTGGTCAAAGCTGCTCATCTTGTATTTATCTACAGACACCCCTTATCTGCATAGGCAGTTTTTTTGGTAAAGGTGAACACAACGCCTTTAGAGTATATATAAACCCAACACTCCATATTCCTGATATGTGCCTGCTGTACCATGTACTTGTATGAAAAAGGATCCTGTTCTCTTTGTATTGCTTCCTTTGTGTGAAATCCCTGGTGTTCCTACCACTCCCTCTGTTTTCCTATTAAAAATTGATCACACTAAGCGTGAGAGCACAGCGTGGCCAGATTTCTAGCTGTGCCCCATATGGAAGAAAAGTATATTTGTAATATATTTCAAAAATATTCTTCCCAAATATATTGCCATATATTTGAAATGCTACAATTTTGGCCATATGCAATATATTTCAAAATATATTTCAATATATATAAATATATATATATATACTGCATGTTGAAATGCATTTTTATTACAAAATAAATGAAACATATTTTTAAAAATACATTTCAAATATACTGTATGTCTTTAAGAAAAATCTACATTTTTGGAATGCATTTAGAAATATGTGTAAAAAATATATATTAAAATGACTTTTTTATATATTTAAAAAAATCTGAAGAATATATTTTAAAGAATATATATTTTTAAAAATATATTTTTTTTAAATATATTCTTCAGATTTTTTTTAACATATAAAAAGTCGTTTTAGCATATATTTTCTCATATATTTGTAAATGCATTCTAAAAATGTAGATTTTTCTTAAAGACATACAGTATATTTGAAATGCATTTTTAAAAATATTTTGTAATAAAAAAAATTTCAACATGCAGTATATATATATATATATATATATATATATATATATATCTCTATCAGGGGCGGACTGACCATTTGGAAACTCGAGCACTGCCCGAGGGCCCGGGGTCAGTAGGGGGCCCCATGATGAGATGCCCCTGGTACCTTTTTCATAGGCTTTTTTGAGTTTGGGCAAGGGCACAGGGGCCCCATGATCCCCTATTGCCCGGGGGCCCCATGAGTTGTCAGTCTGCCCCTGATATATATATATATATATTGCATATGGCCAAAATTGTAGCATTTCAAATATATGTCAATATATTTGGGAAGAATATTTTAAAAAATATATTTCAAATATATTTTTCTTCCATGTGGGCTGGAACTCAGACTGCTCTCAGACTTGTCCTGACAGCCCCCCTCCCCCGCGCAGCTATTCATCAAGACGTTCAGTGCACTGCTGTTTCTCTTCCACCAACTCTCTAAGCTCCTTATGCAGCTGAGATCAGAGGTTATGTGATCACTTATGAAAAAGGTATTCATAATGTTTTTACACATATATACAAATGTTTTGCCCTTCATTTCTATTTAAACTGAATGGGTTGCTTTACATAGTAAAGGGTTCACATATAATTTAAAACAAACAAGTAGTAGAGTGGTAGTAAACTGGTAGAATGTATGAAATTCAGATTCCATGGACTGAAATATACTTGGAGGTTTCCTTCTGAGCACCCTAATACTCTGAAAGTTTAGAAAGTTGGGCTCTGTCCCACCCCTTCTCACACTGTATTGGCCTATGAGGCCTCCAGTTCATCTATGGACCAACAGGAATAGGTGAGAGGGGGTAGAGATAAAAGCTCAATGTAATGTTTTGGAATTTTTAGGATGAAAGTTTTACCATAAAGCCCAACTCAGGGGTCATTTTCCTTTCTGAAAGTCTCCCTACATGTTACAAAAATGCAGCTCGGGCTGTGATACTCACTTCTTCAGCACTGCCCTACACAGTAGTCCCTTTTTCTTTGCCAATAGATGCCCTACCACCATTCAACTCAAAAGATTGAGGAAACCGCCTCCACACCACCCTATAGCAGAAATACTGCTACAGGGTGGCACGGGTGCGCAAAATCACTTATATACACATGATTTCGCATTTCCGGGTAGGAAGCACACGCGCGCGCCACCCTACCTGCACCGCCATTGGCGGCTACAGATGCTGATCACCAGATTCCGGTCGGAGTATCCCCGCTTGCACACAGCGATCGCCGAGTATCATTGACAGGGGAGACACGTGTGTAAACAGCACAGGTCTCTCTCCTGCTAGCATGGCTGCGGCTGTCATCACCGGGTCCCGGCAGGTGATTATTCGCCAGTGCCCAGTGATTTCCATCAATCTCTGACAGGGAGGAGAACTGATTTGTTCACTAACAGTTCACCTCCCTGTCAGCTCGGCACACTGCTTTGAATGGCTGTGCACAGCACAGCCATCCAAAGCAGTGTGCTTACAGTGAAGCCCACTGACATGGCCCCCTATGTAAAACACTTCCAGCACACAGTTAACCCTTTGATCACCCCTCATGTTAACCCCTTCCTGCCCAGTGCTATTAGTACAGTGTCAGTGCTTTTTATTAGCATTAATCACTGTATTGGTGTCACTGGGGATGCCAGTGACACCAAGCCAGTTCCTCCCAATGTCAAAATGTCTGCCACAGTCCTGCAGTTCCGCTATAAGTCACTGATCGCCGCCATTACTAGTAAAAATAAAAACAAAACAAAAAACAGCATCTATACAGCCATTTGTAAACGCTAAAACTTTCATGTAAACCAATTCATTTACAGGAATTGGGATTTTTTTTAGCAAAGACATGTAGCAGAATAAATTTTGGCCTAAATTTATGATGAAATTAGATTTTGTTTTCATTTTTATACTGGACATATTTAATAGCAAAAAGTCAAAAAAAAAATTTTTTTTTTTTCTCAAAATTGTCGGTCTTTTTTATAGCACAAACAATAAAAAACACACAGGTGATCAAATACCAACAAAAGAAAGCTCAATTTGTGGGAAAAAATAACGTAAATTTAATTTGCGTGCAGCGTTGCATGACCATACAATTGTCAGTTAAAGTAACGCAGCGCCTTAATGCAAAAAATGGCCTGGTCAGGAAGGGGGGTAAATCCTCAGGAGGGCAAGTGGTTAAGTGCAGGGTGCCAGTGAACTGCCACCTAAGGGAGCATGAGCATGACCATGGTGCCAGGTCAGTGATGTTAGATCAGCATGACAGCAATGTTTAGGCAGTGTCCTGGTTTATCTCAACACTAGTTTCCTGTGAAGCTGAACACCAGTAAGATATAAAAGATAAAAGGACAAGATGCAGATCTATAATTAAAAACACTATTAAATATATTTTTAACATGCAAGCAAATTTGGCCTGGTATCAGCCTCTTGTGGTACCTATACAGCAGAGCTGCAGTGTAAGGCTACATTTACATCGGTGATTAAGGCCAGTGTGAACTGTAGCGGCAGGAATTGTGCCTCTCAGCAGCTAGGGGTGGCTGATAGAGATGTGCACGATGGAAAAAATAGTTTTGTTTCGGTTTCATTCACTCAGTGAATCATTTTGTTTTGTCAAAAACATTATGTTAGAACGATTTGTTTTCGGAAGGATTCGATATTCCGAGAGAATATATACAGTATTTATTGTTCCGAATCGATTTGTATTTTTAGAAGTTCTGTCATTCTTTTATTTTTCAAGATTGGTTATATTTTGTTATAACAGAATTAAACTATTACGTATTCATTATTATGTAGCACCCTCTGTGCATAGTTAGGTAAATGTAGTCTGGCTCACAAGTAGTTATAGCGAGCATGTCTGTGGGGTTCAAGCTCAGGTCAGGCTGGAGGGCTCTGCAGGTCAGGCCTCTGTTGCCTCCCCCTGGTTCTGGAAGTTTCTAGAAATGTCTAGAAGCCAGTGGGTGGGGGTACATATTCATAGGCGTTTGACCAATCCCCAGGCAGGAGGCTGGCAAGGTGGTAAGATGTGCCCATAAATATTGGAGGGCCTGGCCAGTAGCGTTCGTTGCTGGTTGGAGAACGTAATCAAAGTTTGTGAAGACTGAAAGAGACCTCGGGGCTTGGGGTTCTGCCTCCAGGCGGGAGCTGATGAAGGAAGGAAAGGAGCATTTTGATCAAAGGGATCTTCAGCTTCTTTCAGTTTCAGGCCTGAAAAGCAGTCTTTACCGAGCAGCGGGATTTCAAGGGACAGTGTAAATACCTCTTCTTTCACCACCTAATTCCTATAGGGGAAGAGGCAGCCAGGTGCAATACCCAGGTAGCCATCTGGTAGGGATGGCTTCTGCCAACCTTCACCCCCTCCTTGGGATAGTTTTGTGCTAATGTGCCAGTGCTGGGATTATTTTTGGAAGTGCCTTACCTGTCTGTTGAATGTAATCTCCTTGGGAAACACAGTCTGGAGCAGGCGCGGACTGACAACTTATGGGGCCCCCGGGCAATAGGGGATCATGGGGCCCCTGTGTCCTCATCCACACTCAAACCACACCCAAAAAAGCCTATGAAAGGTGCCAGGGGCATCTCATGTGGCCCCCTACTGACCCTGGGCCCTCGGGCAGTGCCCGAGTTTCCAAATGGTCAGTCCGCCCCTGCTCTGAAGTTGGTGCTAAGAAAACAGTGTGGCCACAGTGGCCCTCAGTATTTTTCTACACATTTCACCCCCCCCAAAGCCTACAAGGGAGATTGCAGCTGAGTGTAATATTCAGCTAGCTTTCAGAGGGATCCTCTACCCTTGCTTGGGGAATGTTCAGATGAAGCCAAGTATGCTAGCATTTCCTTCTAAGGGGTCAGAGAGCTCCTGCATACAGCTAGGACTTTGTCATATTCTTACTAAGGGGGCATAGAGCTCCTAAAAACTGATAGGATATTGTCTACTGATCCATTAAGGACTGACATTATTCCGGAGGAAGTACAGTCTAGGTTCCATTTTTGCTACACGTTGTACATAGAGAAGTTGTCTTCCAAGTTCTTATTGAACTCAGTTTGGGCATCCCATAATCCCCTATCACCATCTAAATTTATATCACCCTAATAAAAACATAAAAACAATCCCAAGGACTGCTTATTGACTGTGGATGCAAGGTGACAATTTGTGTTACCTGGCTGTGCAGACAAAGGGGGACCAAAAATGCAGCGACTTCTAAGGATTTATATCGCCAACAGTTTGCGCAGCGCTTTACAATATAAAGGGATTTGCTATGTTATTAAGTTGAATTCATTTCCCCATTCCCAACTGACTTTGTTTTTTGGGCCATACAAATTAAACAAATGATCTCTCAAGTTCAACTCCAATACAAAAAGAATCTTATTAGAATACTCATGCTACGCTCACTAGAAAAACAAACCTGATTGATCTGAATAAATTCAGATCATGCATTGTGTTATTCCATTATTTCGGATGCTTCAAACATTAGCAAAAGGTCCGAATTATAGCATCATGTCATCTGAATGAAAGGAATGAATATGAATGAATTAGTTGCTTTCGTTATAATTTATTTCGGATTCATTTAAATTTGTTACTATTGTGATTCGGAGATTTGGATACATCCAAAACGAATCGCATGTATCTAGTGGCGGCCAGCCCTATTCACTATAATGGCAGGTCGCCGGCAACCGCAGGCATTTATGGCTGTCCACAGCGATCACCTCAGGGAATCACTGGCTGTGGAAAGAGCTGCAAACAGCTCTGTCATAATAGTGAATGGAGCCGACGACCAGACCTAGCTGCTGAGAGCCATTGAGAGCTGCAGCAGGAATCAAAAGAATTTTGCCACCACAGTTCCCACCAGCCTTAATTGCCGGTGTAAGTGTAGCCTAAAAGTATGAAGCATCACAGGGCGTCAATCAGTTCATGAGCTGGCAAGAAAGATCCTGGTAGGAATAGAGAGCAGAATGACAGAGAGAATCACTGTGCTCCTTCTCCAGTCAAATGGCACTGGCCATCATTCAAACTGGAAGACATCTATTGGCATTGGCAGTTAAAAAGTACTGCAGAGTTAATAAAAAATACTGAAACAAAAAAGTACTGCAGAGGAAAATAAAGCAATATTAAACCCAAAAGCAAACATTTATTATATTTCAGCTTAACAATTCTTAGTGGTGGCTGCATTAGTTTTCTTTTTTAGATTTTCTTTCATTTTTTTTCATCTGGTCATCCAGTCAGTAAGTCAGTAAGTTTTTGAAAAGAACAAGCTCTCCATCAGAATGTATCAGTTACAGAGATGAGATAAACCATTCACCACTAACAGGGGTGGTTACAATGATCAGCTTTTATTTATTTATGTAAAATCTTGTTTTTTTATTTTTTTGCGCTATAAATGAAAAAAAGAGCAAAAAATGTGGAAAAAAGGTTTTTCTTTGTTTCTATTATAAAATTTTGCAGACAGGAAAATATTCTTCTTCACTGATGTGCGTTGATGAGGCTGCACTGATAAGCAGCACTGATGGATACTAATAGGCAGTACTGATGGGCACTGATGAGGCGGCACTGATAGGTAGCACTGATGGGCTGACACTGATGAGGTGGCACTGGTGGAAATTGAAGAGGAGGCACTGATGATGCTGCACTGATATGCAGCACTGATAGGCGTCAATGATGGGCACTGATGGACACTGACTGACAGCACTGACTGACAGCACTGACTGATGGCACTGATTGGCGGCACAGATGGGTGGTACTTCTGGGTAGACACAAACAATGGAGTACTGTCCGTGATACTTTTTTTTTATTTGCACTAACATACAATTTTCAGGACAAGCTTTGGGGTATGTTCCCTTCTTCAAGGCCCAAGCAGTACTACTTCAAAAAATTTTTAGCAGAATGTTAAAAGAAACAATCTCGGAGGGGGAAAAAAAAAAAAAAAAGAATAAAAAAAATACCACACACAAACAAATGTAAACTGTTGGCGCTATATAAATCCTGTATAATTTATATATATACATATACACACACACACACACACAGGTGTACCTTGATTTACGAACGCCTCGGTTAACGTGATTTTCTGTTTACGAATGAAAATCCATTGAACCTAATGCCTCGGTTTACTAATATTTTTTCTAATACGAAGTGTATGTCGGTGTCGATTTTTAAATGAAATTGCCTTTTTTTTTTTTTCTTCACTATAGCTCACAGCATTAGCTGTCACTTTCCCTGGAGCTAAGGATACATTGTTTCATTTATCACGGGGAAACAAACTAAAAGGAAATATTGTTTCTTTTAACTAAACTAAAAGGAAACTTTCTTTCTTTTAGCTGGGGGGAAAGTGACAGCTGATTCTCTGAGCTATAGTGAAGAAAATAAAAGCCAGTAATTACATTTAAAAACCAGCACTGACCTAGAGTGACTGCATCTTTTTTTTTTTTTTTTTTACTTTTTTCTGACCTCCGGAACAGATTAATTGGTTTTCAATACATTCCTATGGGAAACCGCGTTTCGGTTTACACATTTTTTTGCAATATGAAACGTTCCGGAGAACGCATTAAATTCGTAAACCGTATATATATACACATATACACACACACCATAGTTTGTAGATGTTATTACTTTCATGCAACCCAATCAATACACACCTATTGGGATTTTTTTTTACCAAAGGCGTGTAGCAGAATACATTTTTGTCCTTTTTAAAAAAAGTTTTTATTGGAAA